CCTTTCAGTTACTCAATCCCATTTTAGGAAAAGTCAGAGTTCTGACTTGGAGTCCATTTAAATTGGTCGATTTTTTTTTTTTTTTTTAAACAACAGTGTTTACTAAGAAAAGACTTCTCATTCTTCTGATCCCTTTTACTGGGAAGTGTTCATGAGCACAAGTCTTGATCACAGTTGCCTTAAAGACCCGTTTTGAAATGTCTTTCCTTTACTTGAGCAATACATTGGTTGCCTAATCATACCATCCAACTGAAAACAAGAGGAAAGAAGAGTCAACTTAACCTAACCCAAAGAGGGAACATGTTTCCTGGGTTAGATGTGTCAAAGACAGCATAGCATGTCCTGACTCCCCTGTGTGATCAGGGCTGTATCATGTGTTGTGGGTAAATTATCTATTTTGTAAGTTAGGCCAAAGTGTGCTCCTTCAACTAACTGTGAAAGCATTCTTGAAAGCCCATGAAACCTTATTATTCTAATTACCAACACAAGGGATTGATAAATGAATTATGAGGCCAGGTATTATTGCCATTAAATAGATCTCACTCAATTATTTATCCCTGGGTCTGGGGTTACAGTGCAGGGAGCTGTGCATACTGTACCAGGGCTGGCTTGAGCTCCAAGACCTGGAGACTGGATTACAGACTTGGCAGGCAGCTTCTGTTGAATGCAATTCAAGGGAATGACACACATTTTTCAGTCAGACATTTGGATGGTTTGAAGCCAATGGATATTCAAAGTTTATCCACAAAATCTTATTCATTTTATCTGTGCAAAAAAAAAAATCCCTTTAAATTATCCAGATACATACACATGGGTAGGAAGTTGAATTACCTATAGGAAAAACACAGATGTTTTCTTGCTTTTTAGTTTTCAAAGGCTCTGCTCTTTATTTTCTTGGATTCTGATATCTGTAATGGGCACATTAGTGTGATAAGCATCAGTCCGTGCTCATCTCCATATTGGATAGTTTCTTTTTGTATCTTATTTCTAATAGCACAATGAAAGATGTCTTCTGGTTAAGAAATCTGTTAGTGGAGAGGATGGGATTCGAAGCTACTAGTTTTTTTTTTTTTTCTCTTTTTTCCTGAAATCATGCAACTCATCGCAAAGGTTAGCCTGGAAAATAGTGTTAAGAGATGTTCTGTCACTGAGTCACCAATTTCTTCCCGTCCAATGTCCCTTCCTCTAGGCCAGCAAGCTGCAAAAGTGCTTCCTTATGTCCTGAGAGCATCCCATTAGGAGGTTCAAGAATCTGTTCTTGCTAAAAAAATTATTCTCTGCCCACCCTTGTAACCCCTGGCTTTATTTTAACATCATCCCCTAGACTTCTGATGAGTCGAGTCCTCTACTTATTTTGGCAAGAGTGGGCAATGGGAAACAGAAGAAGCTACAATGACTCTTCAGGGATCCTTCTGGTATGAAACTTGGGGGAGGTATTTTGGAGAATGGAGGAGGTGGGGCATTAGGGAAGAGAAGAAATTTCTACCTGAGACTACGTGGAGTGGAGTGAAGTCCAGGTTTTTATCTGAAAATCAATGTCAGAATCTGTATGTTGAGGGTGGGGTGGGGTAGTACTTGGGAGAGAAATATGAAACTATGCCTAGCATTGGGAAAAATTTGTCAGTTGAAGAAACAAATGATAAAACCTTGTTTAGATTGTTCCAAGGGAAATTATATTTATAATAACTGACAAAAACCTTATGAGTGCCATATAAAGAGATTCCTGTATTATTAGATGGATTTATGATTAATTTTGTGGTGATTTTAATTTGGTTATAACCCCGACTTCCCTCTCTCTCCCTCTTAAATCTTGCTAGTTTAATGATCTTATAACATAATCATCAGTTCACAAAATTAAAAATCTTGTCAGAAATATGAAGTAGAATAGCTATTTCTTTACACTTATGGCTGCTTAGAGCAGTCATGTTTTCTAATTGGCCACTCATCGAGCAAGCGATGTAACTCTAAAAAACCAAACTGAGCGTCTTTTAAATTACCTGCTAAGTATCTAGAGTAGCAAATATGCCCATAACGTAGGCAATTTACATTTGAAAAACAAATTTTGATTTTACTTCGAGGAAGAATGTTTGAATCTCTATTTCTATGTGTTTATTAGAATAGAGTGATGTGATGATTCCTATGTATACTTGGTTGTAGGAATTTCAACATTCTTGATGCCAAATAATTGAATTATGGCCAGTTCCACTATGACACCATGTATGGGTTCCTAAAACCCACCACACTGTGCAAAATATGGCAATGAAAACCACAAGGCTTATAGGAAAACTGGGGCTAGGGGAATAATACTCAGAAATATCATCAATGACACCTTGACAAAGATGGATATAAAATGGCGGCAACATTTTACACAAAATTTGTGTTACGCTTAAATTGTTCTGTAATGCATCAATCATGTTAGAACAGGTTTTCAGTTCTGAAACAACTGTTACAGGAGAATCCACTGTGTAATAATCCCTCCAACACTTTCACACTTATGATGGCACCTTCTTGCTACCACTGGGCAAGCAGGGAAGCCATTGCTCACCCTCTAGTTTGTTTGTTGAGGAATCTTGACCTGTTAAAGGCCACAAAGTAACTGAGGGAAAGTGCAGATCATGCTCACGTGTGTGTGAGTCCTGGGCATGCGTGCCTTCCTCTGAGAAACAGGACCTTCCTGAACATGTGTACAGAGAGGGTCAAAAGCACGGGCAAAGGCACAGAGACAAATCACAGAGGCTGGGTTAGAACTCAAGTTAGAGTCGAGTTTAGTTTAGTTCAACATTTTATAAATGTCTGTGAGGTGCCATGCTCACTCCTGCCATATCATCTCTAGAACATATTGTTAATGCTTAAATGGGATATATTTTCTTGATTGCATGGATGGAGAAACCCAGCCATGAGACCTCAGCTTATACTTTTTGATAGGGCTTCATTAAACATTTTAGAATATGTAGAATGTTTTAGAAACCATTTTCAAATTAATCTTCATAACTCAGAGGTCATGTCAAATGTCAGGGCATTTGACGACTAGGCCAGTCTAGTAACCCTTCCCATTTTCCAGGGGTCTGCTCTAGGAAGTTTTCTCTTCTTCTCTTCTCTTCTTTTCTTTTGTTCTCTTCCTTTTCTTTTCTTCTCTTTTCTTTTTTTTAAAGATTTTATTTATTTATTTTAGAGAGAGAGTGAGAGAGGGAGCACAAGAGAGGGGAGGGTCAGAGGGAGAAGCAGATCTGCCTCTGAGCCGGGAGCCGGATGCTGGGCTCAATCCTAGGACTCCGGGATCATGACCTAAGCCGAAGTCCGACACAACCGACTGAGCCACCCAAGGCCCCTGCCCTATTAAGTTTCTGAGAAGACTCATGTAAAAGGGTGCAATTCCAAAGTTTAGGAAGGACTTTGCCTTGGAGCATCAATTAATGTGGAAAATACAATTATTGGATGCTCCCCTGTCTATATGTATCTCAAGTTCTGCCTCTTAGCTCCACTTCCAGAAGGTTTAAGTTTATTAAGCACCTCCTCTGCTCGAAGTAGTGGTCAGTGCTCTGGGGGATACAAAGGGACAGGATACTGTCCCTGCCATCAAGGAACTCATCTGGGGGGTCTGTTTGATGACTGAAGAGAATCTACTCCATTGCACTTGTGTTTTTATGGCAGAATATGGGTGGGTACACAGCCGCAGGTGAGTAAGGAGGTGCCACTGTGGAGTCACTGGCTAAGTCAGCAGGTGCATGTTGGGTTTTGATCACCGGGTATTATAAAATCATGAATTGGCACTGTCACTAAGGAACAACTTACCAAAAAAAAAAAAAATCCTTGACTTCATTTTTTCAAAATTTACTTTGTTTGTTAATAAGCTTATTTATAGTCATACGTTGAAGGGTCTTATTCTGTAAAATCACACATTCCAGGGGCCAACCAACAGACAATGTGGCAGCTGTGGAATGGCAGTCCAAGTTTGGGTTCTTCTGGGTGATGTCCTCTATGGCCCCTAAAAGGTCAACACAAGCCTGGGCCACCTCTCTTTTTAAAATTCTTTTGGCATGTCAAACACACAACAATAGCAAAATTGGCCAAAGTTACGAAATTGTAGTGTATTTAACATTAACCATTCTGCTGAGTTGATGCTTTTCTACACACACACAAAGACACTAATGTGACAACTGTAATGTGTAACTATCTGGGAATAAGGTTAAAGTTTATATTTGAGACCCTTTCGGAATGTGAAGCTAAAAGTATTCCTTTCCTTTCCCTTCTTCCCTCAACCCCATTTGCCGCACATAGTATGATTCCTCTGTTTCAAGTCATAATTGGTTTTATGAGATTAAATACCAGGTCAATAAAGTATGTTCTATGTCAGTTTGTCCTAAACTCTTTGACTTATTATTTTTTTAAATAATCCTTAAAAAAGAAGAAAAGAAAATATTTTAATTTAATTTTTTTTAAAGATTTTATTTATTTATGTGACAGAGAGAGACATAGCGAGAAAGGGAACACAAGCAGGGGGAGTGGGAGAAGGAGAAGCAGGCTTCCCGTAGAGCAGGGACCCCGATGCGGGACTTGATCCCAGGACCCGGGGATCATGACCTGAGCCGAAGGCAGACGCTTAACGACTGAGTCACCCAGGCGCCCGAAAAGAAAATATTTTAGAATAAACATTCTGACTGCCCGAATCTGAAGTCAACTTTGGATTCAATTTTATATGTGGTAGAAATGAAAAGAACTAGTATTCTCTATTTTGACACTTAGAACAAATTACTTGCTTTTTGATGATCCAGCTGATTAATAATAATAAATGAGACTAAAATATCTTATTCTTCCTGGCCAGAATTAAAAAGCTTAAACATCTATTTCAAGCCCTGAGCTTGAAATAGAGCTTAAATTCATGTGCTAAGGGTCTAGAAGAAATAAGGCTGCAAACCTAATAAAATGAAATGTCCACTACCTCTATCCTATGATTCTCAACCTATACCTCCCTTACCCCTTATTTTGTTTTATTTCCTCAGGGAAGCAAAAAAATTTGTGAGTGAAAATGAAGGAGCCCTTGGGAAAGGGAAAGGAAAGCGGTGGTTTGCATTTAAGATGATGATGGCCAAGGTAAGCATTTTCACAACTCAATTTGGTTGATGCCATGCATTCTCAATGGCAGCCATATTGATTCTAAGGAGGAGAAAATTGGTTCTGTTATGGGAGAGGGAAAGCATCTTACATTTTCTATGTATGAAGCACATACACACATAAAGTAAATACATAGTATATCTGTGGTATTAAAATTTGGGGCAGGGCATGATTCAGAAAACAAACAAACAAACAAAAAGGGCCCAAAATACTCCTTAAAGGGGTTAAAATGAAAAATAAGTTGAGAAACATTGATTTATGGCAAAAGACTTACTTGTGTGATTTTCTCACCCCTGAATGACAAAGACTGTGCCCCTCTCATTTTTATTCCCTGGTAGTGAAGGGGTTCTGGGTTAAAGTTTCTTTCTCAAAATGTCTACAAGCTTTCAGGCCATATAGCTCTTCTCTCTCAGGAACATCAACTTATACATTGAATAGAACATGAGAAAAAAAGCAAAAGATATACCAATATAAAGACAGATTCTTGGAAAACATAGAAAAGAAATTAACATTTATTTAGTATTTACTATATGCTAAACACTGAACTGGATCCTTCTATGAAGTTATCATATTTAATTCTCAAAGCAAAGTAGGTATGTAGGCATTATTGTCCCCTCTTTACAATTGTTACCCCACTTGTAAGCTAAATGCATTTCCATACAGATGGGGTTTTGTGAATAAAAATCACAAATCTTACGTATGAAATAGAGATAGAAAGATTTATGATGTATACCATAGATTAATTTTGTCTGTTTTTATAATTTAAATGAATAGAATCTTATAGTATTTATATTTTTGTTTCTGCCTTCTTTGATGCATCATGAGATACATTCATGTTGTGGTAGCTCTAGTCCATTTTTATCAATATGTTGTATTCCATTGTATGAAGGTACCACAATTTATTAATCCATTCTCTTGTAGATGGACATTTGGATTGTCTCTAGTTTGGGTCATCTTTTGAACTTCAGACTTGTCTCATACTCTTATTTGGGTCCTACATGCCTGTCCATCTCACACGTGATCCCAGCATAATGTGCACTTACGCCAAGTTATTTGCCCCATTCCCATTCTTCCGTGTGGTCCTTGTGGTCCTCTTGACCACAGATGGCCCAACAGTGTGGAATAAAATGGAAGGAAGGTCTTTTATAAAAACTAATGTGTGATTCTTTTTCTTCCTCCCTTTTCTATGATACCATGCCTTTCCATTTAATTAGATGCTCTACTTTACCAGAATAAAAAGTGTCCTATGTCATAACACTTACCATCCTGTATTGAAGTTACTTGTTTATGTTCAGCTTACTCTAGTAGAGTAAGAAGCCCTTCAAGGCAGGAGCTATGTTTTATTCATATTTCATCAATTTCTTCACGCAATGAGTATTTAATTAAACACATAAAATTTGCCGATCACCTAATATTAGGTGCCAACTCAGTTCCTGCTCCCTTATTGTCTGTCAGAATACACAGATCTGTCTCAGCCTATTTGCTATAAAACAGGAGATCCATAAAAGTTTTTTTTTTAATTGAATTGGTGTGGAGGTGGTTGGGGAACAGGGAGGCAACTAAAACCTACTCTTTTCCTCTTTTTACAAAAAGCCTTACGTGGCACCAGAGAGATCTTTCCAAGCTCATTGTCTTGTGATATTTTGGGATGGGGGTGAAGGATAAACCTCTTGGCAAACAAGAGGCTGAGTTTTACTGTTGTATTTGGCTTTCTTTTCAGAAATGGGCAAAATTTCTTCGTGATTTTGAAAACTTCAAAGCCGCCTGCATCCCATGGGAAAACAAAATCAAGGCAATTGAAAGTAAGTGCTCATGAGATCTCATTAGATGGGAAGGTTGTTTCATAAGCTTATCAGATGCCTTTCTCAGTTTCTATACTATTGGAAAGATTAAAAACAAGAAAATGAACAAACAAAAATAACCATTTTTTACATTCTCTTTGAACTGTGAAAATTTGCAAGCACTTACCAATCACAGCACTGGAGACCCTACTCTCCCTTTCTATGTTAGACCAAAATATTCTCATTCTGACCTTTTCTCTCCTATACAAGTAAGTCAATATTGTGTCAATGACACTGAGTTATATATATCACTGGGAAAGCAGCAATTTTATATTGGCAATGAATATGACATTGAAAATATATTCTTATGAGAGTTAGACAATAATCAAAATGAACAATGTCTAAAAAGAATGAAGAAATCTTAAAGCCTCATTTTCAGATCTGAAGTAGAATAAGTAATCATCATCCAGGAACTTGCTATGTGAATATCATACTGTGCCTTCAGTTGATACAGTATTCCTAGGTTACAAAGAAGTCAGGAGAATATACTCAATCGAAAGCCTATTTAGAACAGTGCTCTAGGCTTAGAATAAGGCAAGTAAAGATTTTAAAATATTGTAAATGTAATAAATAATTTTTTTTAAAGATTTTATTTATTTATTTGAGAGAGAGAGAATGAGAGAGAGCACATGAGAGGGGGGAGGGTCAGAGGGAGAAGCAGACTCCCCGCCGAGCAGGGAGCCCGATGCGGGACTCGATCCAGGGACTCCAGGATCATGACCTGAGCCGAAGGCAGTCGCCCAACCAACTGAGCCACCCAGGCGCCCTAATAAATAATTTTTTAAAAATATACAAAGAATGTAATAATAATAAGGAATGTAAAGAAAAAGGGATAATATTTCAAACATTTCTGAGCACAATCTTGCCATATTTTGGTTTCTAGGAGTTTTGACTAGGATCTGATTTTCCTCCCTGACTTTTCAGATCGAGAGGCAGGTTTTCCTGCTGCTTAAATGTGGCGTTGCATAATTAAAATGGAGGCTCCATAGGGAGATAACACAGTTGATGGATATTTCACGGACATGATTGGGCATGTTTTAGGAGTGCCTATCCTCAGTCCTCTGTCTCTCATTATCAAGTGGCAATGAATTAAAAATACATCAGCTAATTAATTGCACTTCCTCCCACAGATTCCTGTACCACCCGTCATTGCTTTATTTTCCTCCTTAACACTTGCGATCTAAAATACTGTATTTTTAATTTAGTTTTTAAACGTAATTTCATTTCATTTTATTTTGTGTTTATTTCTTCCGGTAGACTATGAAAGCAGAGGTTTGGTTTGGTTTACTCCTGGATCACCAGACCTAGAATTTGCTTGACCTTAATAAATATGCCTCGAATAAAATTAAATAGTAGACGTTCTTCAAACGTCTACCATTCTAGGAAATGGGAAAAGGAATTTAGACCCACCAGGGAAGAACAGACACCATGGAATCCTTAAGTTTCAAGTGTACAGCTCAAATGTGGTACCTTGAGAGGCATTGAGGAGCAGAAAGCCATTTGGAACATTAAAGTCTTGATACAATTTGTGTAAAAATAACTCTGGATTTGGTTCTTGCTTTGCAGCCGATGTGCTGTTCAACTCTGAGGCAGTCATTTAATCCCTCTGGGCCTCAGTCTATTCATCTATGAGATGATAGGGTTGAATCTTGATTGGTCTTGAGATGTAGCCCAAGAAATTTATAATAATGAGAGTTAAAATGTACATTTGCAATTATTTATTTGGAAGGTCCACTAGGTTCTAGCAGGTTCTAGCTTGTCTCAATAATAATGTCCTGCCCAATTGTGTTGCAATAGCCTATCTTGAGTGGGATAGAAACACATGGAATTATTTTTTTTGCCAGGAATTTCACACAGGAATGAGTGACAATATAACCACCATCTAGCATGTGTGTTACTAGGGGAAAGACAGATCGAGAGCCACTCAATTATACTTTTAGTTATCTTCCTTCCTCCCCTCTTCCTCCAGGAAATTTGGAACAGTCAGTTGGGTAATTCCAGCAGATGCGGGTTATTTTCTCTTCCATGTGCAATTTCAGGTTTGATTAGGTTGTCCACCTTTCATGGTGCTTTGCTTCACTGTGAAGAATTGATCCTTATTTTCTATTCCATCAACAGTCGCCACAACCACCACTCTTTGGGTGTCACTCAGATACCCTACAAACACTTCATATAATCTCGAACATGCCTGCAATGTGCCCATTAGCCTTCCTATTTTCAAGTTGCGGTTAAATAAAGGTCCCAGAATTAGTGACCGGAGGAGCTGAGATGTCAGGTGAAGTCTCTCTGGGTCCACGGCTTGTGGTTTTTCTCAATGTGGCTTGCTCATTTGTTACTTGAAGGAAAATTTTATAAACTTTTTCTTTTGCATCAAGTCCCAGAGTGGATTCGACCAGAGCAATGGCAGGATGAGCAGTTAGAGATTTTCTTGATCATTATCCAATTTGGGAAATTGTGTCCCATTTTCTCATGTGTTTATTTTTGAATGAGCTATTTATTTAATTACATACTTAAGCTTCCTAAGGTACTTAATGCATTATGATCTTAATGATAATCATCAGTACACCATATGCTTTTGGGCGATTGTAGTAGTTGAAAAGTAGGAGGCCTCTCTAAAAGTGTATTAGTAAAGTCATTGGGTTGGACCAACCATCTCATAGAAAGTCCCCTACCAAAGATGGGGGAGCATGTATTTGTGATGGTCTTTGAAACTTAATTAAACGGAAATTGGAAAAGAAATGGGACATGGAATCAGTTTTCTAAAGGTTGAGGTCCTTTATAGAGGACCAGCTCTATAGTATGGCTAATTCTTCAATATCTGGGGCCCTCTGTTTCCACATTTGGGGTTTAACTCGTTCCTATAGAAGGCAATTTCCAACCCAACATTCTATGATTTAGAAGTTACAATCAGTTTGAGGTTTATACGTAAGCAGATGAAGTTCTTTATACTTTTGAGTGATAAATCGTTGAAACAGTTAAATGAAAAACAGACTTACAGTAAGAGAGGCCTGCATAATTTACCTTCTATGTCAGTTCTTCTTAGAAAAAAGTAGATTAAACATGTACCCTATTTATAAAATACGTATTTCATATTTTAAAATAATACCAAGTCTTTTCTCTTACAGAAATGACCACTTAATCTTACAGAAGTTTGAGAAATAATTGTATTCCTTTTGAAAGTCAGAATAATCTAACATGTAATACCTCATTTAATCTTCAAAATAAACTTGACTGGACTGATTAATTGAGCAAATACTCATTGAGTGCCTGCCATTATTAGGCCTGTTTTCCAGGCACTGGGCATACAATGCTGACAAAGACAGGCGAGGCTTGATTTTACATCCAATTGTGTTAATAGGCATGTGGGTGGGGAAGGCAGGTCATAAAATATAAGCAATTAAATCATGAAGAAAGTTCAGATTGTGGTCAGAGGCATGTTTAAAACAGGAGCAGCTAAGCTCCATTCTGAAGTCTTTCTAATCCATTTGCCCTCATTCTCTGCTCAATCTCTAGATAATACTGAACAAGTATTTTTGTAAGTGTGGTTTTAAAGAAGTCCCAAATTACCAGACTTCTCTGAGTTTCCATAAAGCTCTAATAATTAGCAGAATCGAGAGGTGGACTTAAGTCTAAAACTCATGCTGTCTCCCATCATGATTCCAGTAAGGCCTGGATCCCTTTGCTAGTGTGGACCAGGTACTCACTTGAGGACTCCCCAATTTTTTTTCACATCAAAAATAGATTTGATCATTCCTGCCGCAAAGGGATGCTGTGAAGTTCTACATCATGTGGGGATGCTGTGGAATTTTACTGTCTTGCCAGCCTTGTGAAGAAGCCATGCTAAAAACCCAGGATTACCCACAAGGATGAACTTTATTAACTACTTTTCATTACGTATTTTGCTGAAAAAGCTGTGTATTTGTACTCCCAGGAAATATCATCTATATCCATTGTGACTCCAGAATTATTATCAAAACCATGGATTAAATCATGGAATGTCCTTCAAGCTGGAGATCACAAGTCTTTCTCAGAACTGAAATCTATTTCTTCCTAATAATAAAGTATGGCATCGAAATAGGTGTGAGAGACCTATTTTTCGGACCAGAAAGATCTGCAGATAGACAACCCTAAGAACAGAGTTTAAACCTCATGTTTCTCTACTGGCCTAAGAGCTGCAGAAAATGCAAATCAAATTTGCCACATTTAATTCCCCTAAATCAGTTCGAAAGCAACTATGCTTCATGTCCTAGCCTAACAAGATGGTATTTATACTGTGCTCATACAGCAGGTGATTTAATTGGTCTTTTCCCACTTAGAAATGCTCATATTTGTCTGCCTGTCTTATTACCCATCTGTTCAAGAGGAAATTATACATGATGATAGACTACAAATTACTTTGCCTTAATAATAAATAACCAGAGGGAGAGGTGAAACTTTAACCTTAATTTAAAAGAAATGCCAGAAAATTCAGCAACAAGAATATTGCATAAGCTTACAAGGCCTCACTAGAAAAGGTACCAAGGACTTGTTTTACTGTATTAATAATTCATTATGGAAACAGAATTTATTAGTCAGATTAAAGAAAAAAAGAATTGGTCATTTCTGGGCACCAGCCCAATTTATGAATGTGAATGGCCTTAGCTGATTGGTGGATAATGCCTATGTTTTTTCAGACATACACATTCATGGCTTATTTATTCCATATACTATAGTTATTTTTAAAAAAATAGTGTAATTATGATTCTACTTGGGTAGCAATATAGTACTGTGGTTAAGAGAGATCTGGATTTGGAGTCACACGCCTACAGATCAAGGCTGCCTAGTTTAGAACTCTGGCTCCATCATTTACTACCTATTACTACATAACTCCCTATGTAGCCCTGGTTCCATCATTTACTAGCTGTATAACCCATGGGCCTAAGTCTCTGTAAAGTGAGAGTATAGGAATTCTCTTCTTGCAGGAATTCCATGATGACTAAAGGAATTAATACACAAGATCAAAATAGGTGTCTGAAACAAAATTCATTAAATGTTAGCTATTGCTATTATTAATCAAGTCTTGGTTCAGTCAAATGCTGTGTTTAGGTTTTTGGTCCCCATCCACAGTGGGACTAATAACACTTAACCTTATCGGGTTCTAAAAGCAATAAAATGAGTGATGCTGGAGAAGTTTACGGTATGCATAATTGACCAGCAAGATATATCAGCTATTATTATTACTACTACTACTACTTCTCCTCCTTATTCCTGTTCTTTACAAGAATGAAACAATTTTATCTAAGAGACGAAGCACACGGAATGACTGTTCTTTTTAATTACGATCTCTTAGGTACACTTTAGGAAGGTTTCTCTTTTCAGTCAATGCCAGATTTAGCCACCTACCTCTGATCAGATAGAACCACTAGGATAAATGGATGTGAAGAGGGAAGAGTTCTCCTTTTTAATTTATTTTATTTTATGTCATTCTTTCTTTATTTTTTTATTATTTGTGTTGAGACAGGGAAAGGTCCTTTGGAGCTTGGATGCCAACCAGTTGATTTGTGTTCTTTCCTTTACAGTCTTTCTTTTGTTACTGTCCTCTGCCCTCTGCCATTGGTAAGAGTTCTGTAGAAGGAATAATGTCTTCTGGATTTCTTGGTCTCTTTGACCTGTGTCTGGGTCTTTTGTACAATCATTAATTTTAATGAAATCTGTTTTCCTGAAATTCATTTCCTTTAGACTTAGGATTCTGTAAAAAAAAAAAAAGAAAGAAAGAAAGAAAGAAAGAAAGAAAGAAAGAAAGAAAGAAAGAAAGAAAGAAAAGAAAAAGAAAAAGAAAGAAAAAAAGGAGGGGGGTGCTTAATCGTTACTTCTCTACTTCCAATAAAATAGTTGTGAAAAGATGCAGCCTGAAAGCTTTGGAGTCTAAAAGATATTTCATCCATAATGAATATAGATTATATATGGGGGAGGGGAGACTTTCTGAAACATTATAATGTGCTCCTCTTTTTTGCCTTTAGGTATATTTACACTCTGTACTCAATTTAAGAAATTCATTTGCTAGGGTTTCTGTATGGGGGCTGAGAGAAAATGGGCCGTGGGTGCTAATGAGAAGAGCAAAACTGTAAGAAGGAAGGTGGGAAAGGAAAGAAGGAAGGAAGGGAGGGAGGGATTGAAGGAGGGAGGGCGGGATGGAGGGAGGGATGGGGAAGGAGGAAAGGATGAGTCAGCATCCGGTGCTTGGGACTCTATACCAGAAGATCTCCTGTGTGTTTCAGGGAAAAGCTTGCTCCAGATACCTAGAGACAAAGTTCCTTCTCCAGTTAATGAGTAACTGTAATGACTAGCAAGCAGTGCCTTCAATAAAACATGACAAATGAACCTGGCTGAGACGGGCTAGGGCAGTTGTTACTAGAGAACATAGATAACAGCCATGAAATGATCTGAAATCACTGGGAGCCAGGTGGATGATCAGATGTCCTGGGAGGGGCAGATCTGCGTAGCCTTTCTGCAGATGGACCCGTGCATCTGGTTACAGCACCTATGGGCATGTTTATCAAAACCATACCCTTTTAGAAATCCAGTAGAACTCTGCCTTTCTCTACAAAGTGAAATGAATCCAAATAGTCAGACTTGAAAATAATTGATTTTTTTTAAATGTCCGTTTAGACGCTGACTTTTTTTTTGTCAGTTTCTATAAAAATTGTCACTGTGTTGTGGGAATAGGCAAGGTGGCTCCTAACGAACAGACTAAGTTTCAGAAACGAAAGCATGACTCGTGTGATGTCAGCCTCATCTTACTAAGCGGAGACTGGAATTTGCTTCCCCTGAACCTCCTTCTTTCTGCAATAATGTTTCCCTGCTGGTGATGCTGCAAAGCCAGAGGGCCAAGAAAGCCATTGGTCCCCGGAGGTGTTTTGCTGAAGGAGTCAGGAAAAAGGGCCTGATGCGGTGGGTGGCCGTGGATGTTTATCATTTCTTCTTGGGCAGCTGCAAAGGGGAACTGGGAATCGGGAAGAAAACTAGCACCTTGGGGTTGAACTTTAAGCGATGATCAAAGAAAGTTGGGCTTTTGTTAATCAGTGAAATCGCCACCTGAGACTCCGAATTCCTGGTCTTTCTTCCTCTTCCATTCTCTGATTTAAGATAATGTTTTGTTTTGTTTTTTAAAGATTTTATTTATTTATTTGACAGAAAGAGAGACACAGCGAGAGAGGGAACACAAGCAGGGGGAGTGGGAGAGGGAGAAGCAGTCCTCCTGCTGAGCAGGGAGCCCGACGCGGGGCTCGACTGAGCCACCCAGGCACCCCTGTTTTGTTTTGTTTTTTAATTTTTTTCTCAATAAATACAATGTGGACAGATCACTTTCCACTGAGGCACGTGCATGTTGATGGCACATTCTTGCCTGTCCCCTCCCAATTCGTTTCCCAAAGCTGAAGAGACTTTAAAGGCCACAGTGTACTTCCCATCCCGCCCCCACACCCAATCCTGCTGCTTAGCACCTGTTGGCGACTTTCCCAACACATTTAAAATAAAAGTCTCACTTTTTACCTGTCTTTAGGAGGCCCTATACAGTGTGGTTTGGCTTGTCTCTTCATCCCTCATCTGTCACCGCTTTCCCTTGTTCACTGGGCTCCCACCACATAAGTCCTTCGGTTGGTTCCTCAATTGTCCTAAGCTCTCACTTGCCTCCAGATATTTGTTCTCGCTCTTTCCTCCTCTTGAGCTGCTCTTCCCCAGCCTGAGCGTTTGCTGCCTCTTCCTCCAACTTCAGACCTCTGCTCGACTGTTACCCATTCTGATACACCTTCCTCAACGAGCTTATCGAAAGCAACCTTCTCAGTATTTTACCTTCTTCTCACTACGACCTATCTGGTATATATAATTGTTTTATATTTGTTATATAATTGTTATAATTATATGTATATAGTTGTTATAATTATATGTATAATTACATATTAGGTACATGTATAATTGTTATAATAATGTCATCATATGTGATTTTACATATCATATATATGCTACAGGCACATAAGATATACAGTACATAATATGCAGATATTATACAATGTATTTGAATATACATATATATTGTACATATAGAATATATAATATGACACATACTGTACATACATATAACATGCTATATAATAGCATATAGCACATACATTGTGATAAATACATATATTTTATTTATTTATTTTTAAAATCCCTGCCTCTCTGTTGTTTCCATACCTCACTAAAACGTAAACTGTATTAGGGCAACAACCCTGTCTGTGACATTGTGTTTCACATCTAAGGTAATTCCTGAGGGAAAATACTGGAAGTATGTGAAGAGTGAGTGAATGAACTTCAGCTCCTGCGCTGTACCTAAAAAATGCCAGCGATGCAGACAAATAGCCCAGGAGGGTCTGCAGGCCAGCTGTCCCTGAAGGATGTGGGAAAGGCTTTTGAGAAAGGCGTTGTTGCCTGAGAGAAAGGAGGCAGAAGTGTAGTGATTATAATCATAATGGTAGCTAACTACCGGCAGATACTGTGGTAACCACTTTACACGTATTCGCTCAACTTAATGTTATTAACTTATTAGCTCCGGGAATAAAATGGGCTTTCACCTAGCAACCCTAGGTGCTAAGCCCCAGGCAGCTCTCCCTTGGATGGGCCCTAAAGGCGTAGGGTCACAGTCATTCTCCACAACTGCATCCACACAGTAGACAGCACTTCCGTTACCAATAACGTTTTCTCTTCCTGGATAGAAACAGAATGCTGAAGACTGTCAATGTGGAAAGGACCGATGTGTTGCAATGAGCAGATTTATTTTCGAAAGCACCCAGACACAGCTTTTGTTTCGTTTGGTTCTGACCTGTCTTTCAACATTTTCATTTCCTTTTTGATAGGTCAGTTTGGCTCCTCCGTGGCCTCGTACTTCCTCTTCTTGAGATGGATGTATGGAGTAAACATGGTTCTCTTCATCCTGACATTCAGCCTCATCATGCTGCCAGAGGTAAGAATCTGACTTTCAGTTTACAAAAAAACAAAACACAACAAAAGCTGAAACAGTTTTCTCATGTGATCACTGTCCTAGAAAATTTCTTTTCTCTTCTGAAGAACAGCACGATTAACTGGCAATAATCCGCCCTTGGAGTCATAGCACTTGCAACAAGGTTAATCCTCAAAATGGTGCCCGTGGGCCAAAGATCCTAATCCTTGCTCCAAAGGGTACATAAGCCTCCTGAAATCATATATAAAATGTTGTGTGTATGTCTAAATATACATTTTTCTGTGGAATGGTTCACGGCTTCTATCAGATTCCCAAGGTGGTCCCCGTGCTCAAATGTTAATTGCTCAAAAGGAAGGCTTTGACACCTTGTGAATTGTATTTATTTTAACAAGTTTGCTTTGAAAGAAATGCTTCTTACTGCAACTCAAGACACCTAGCTTTTCTATCTGAAGAAACACAAAGGGAGCTATTTTTTTCCAGATGTAAAGTAAGGTAAACCAGACATCCCCACCCCCCACGCACATGTACACATACACAGTGGGGTGGGGTCTTTTAGGATCAAGGTCAGGGAGGAGAGGAAAGCAGATAGTGCTTCCAGATTGAAGATGCCAAAGCCCTGAGCTGATCGGTGGGGTGGTAGGGTGAGTCCATCAACTAAGGCCAAGAAGCAGGACTGAGGTTGGAGCCTTTATCCACAAGAAGTTAAAAGACTCTGACCCTTGGATGCTTACTTATACAAAAGTCAGGTCGGGCTTTACTCAAGCTACAAAGGGTCTTTTCGGGTACCATTATTTCAAAGCCAATTTGTTCAGAACAGCATTGCCCACAGCCAAAACTAAGTGTTTTGAGTGACTTGTTATCCCCATGGTTTTGAATCAGAGCCAGTTTCTGTATCAAGCCTCCCCACGGGCATAATAATCTTAATAATTCCTTATATTCATGACAAGTTTAGCTTTTAACAGTGCAAAAACACTTTCACTTCTTTTACTTACTGAGCCCCACAACAAATTTATGAGGTAGACTGTAGAAGAGTTTTCTTTCCCCATTTAAAACTGTGGAAACAGAGTTACACATTGCTTATTGGGCTTAACCGATATCTCAGAGTGAGGTTTTTTTATGCTGTTCTGGGTCTAGTACCTTGATTGTACCCTTTGTCCCAAGATTTTGCAACCTAATCCATTAGTTTTACAGTCCCTGAGATAATTCGGGAGGTTCTACGGCTATCTGGCTCCTAGGAGGCAGTGAACGCAGATCAGAAGTCCTGTATAGTTCATCTCTCAAGTGAAAACTTTCAGGCGACGAGACAGAATGCATGTCATCAATTTCAAATTAACCCCAGCTTTCTTTTTGCTCATCTCTCTGAGGAGCCCCGAAACTCCTTCACTGGCTATTATGATGCCCCTTAGTGTCAGACTCAGATCTCTGTGGAGTTCTATCAACTGTGCTTTCTTGTCTCCCCACACCACACAACCGCCATGGAAGTGAAAGGTTGTGGCTGGATTTACTCCACCTATATGAAATTACAGAATGCCTGATAGAGAGTGGAGGGAGCCAATCTGTGCCTGATGGAGTGTATTCCTAGAACGAAGAAGCGTATTGTCTTTGGATGCTTTCTTACAGGTTTGTGTTAGATGCTGAGGGGCATCCTGTTTTCTGGGCAATGGTTGCCAGCTCGAGCAAAAGAACAAGGGAGGATGTGTTAGCTTTACAGAGCCATCAGAGGCCAGGGCTGGTCCGCTCCTGGCAACAAGGCTCCATTTTCCTCTGCCTCCTCCCACCCAGCCTCATTCAGCATTCCTTCGAAGCAGATGCCCTTTTGCCCAAAGTTCCCATATCCCTGGGCAAGCGTGAGACCTTAATCTTCTTTGTCCTTTGTGGCCCCCAACTTTGGGGTGCGACCACATGGGTAGGACCCACCTTCTGCTCTGTTCAGTCCTAGGAAGTCAAGAAGCTTCCATGAATCCCATGCTGCTTGTATGGAGGGTAGGAGTAGGGGCTGACTTCCAGCCCTTGTCCAGTCAAGCTTGGCACCCAGGCTTCCAGCCACCATTCATCCTCCATCCCTAGCCCCAAGGAAGGAAAGTTTTCATGTTACTTAAGAAGCAACATCTGCTTGGCAAGCCATGTGCCTGCCCTGGTGCTTTTTCCAGGTCTCACCAAGGCACCTGCTAGAGCCCTATTCATGTTGCCTCTCTGGCTGGCTCTGCCCCTAAAAACTCCTCTTTGAATCTGGTAGCATAAGATCAGGGCAGCAAACCTGAATTAGTGGTAAAACAAATACAATCAGGGTACAATCATTCCTCCTATTTGACATGCTCGAATTGTATGAGCGATTGATTCACTTGAGTCTTCTCTTTCTTAACATGAAGGAGGGAATCTTCCTCCACCCTCACCCCTAAGAGGTAACCCCATATGAAGATGTGGGTAATATGGTTTTTTTTTTTTTTTGAACACTATAGTTCCCCCAAAGGCCTCTTTTCTCCTCTCCAGGCCTCCCCTAAAAGAGACCAGTTTGGAGGTGGTCGTGGGTAGGGGGGCTTCTCAGCAAGCCTCTGGGCAATGTGGTTGGCCCAACTGCTGGTGGTCCACTGAACTTAGCATGCAGGGTTCTTAGCACTCCCTTTGTTCTTCACTCTGGATTTAGTAGTCGATTCCCAGAAAATGGGACCCCACGTGAAGACCCACAGAGTCGCCATGAAAATGTATAAGTAGTGCTTTTAAACAAAACCATTTGTGATCACATGTGTGGCTCAGACTTTGTTTCCAATTATTAACTGCTTTCTTTGCTTCTCTGTATAGTACCTCTGGGGTTTGCCATATGGCAGTTTACCTAGGAAAACAGTTCCCAGAGCTGAAGAGGCATCTGCGGCAAACTTTGGTGTGTTGTACGACTTCAGTGTAAGTGTCTCCCCACAACTGTGTTGGTAGGAGGACAGATTTTTCCTTACTCTCTGAAACCCCATGGCCTCTTCCTCTGGGGCTGGTTGGAAGTCTTAAAGAGATACATACATGCCCCCTGCTAAAAAAATAGTAAAGGAAGGAAGGAAGGAAGGAAGAAAGGAAGGAAGGAAGGAAGGGGGAAGGGAGGGAGAAGGAGGAAGGGAGGGAGGGAATAAGAGAGAGAGAGAGAAAAAAAGGATTGGCTTAAGAATATGATAACAAGATTAAATGGGAATATAGACTACTGAATGAAGGTGAACTCAGTGATCAAAGGCTTCTTTATCTCTGGCTTTGGAAAAGAACAAAGGAAGAGTTTGCAAATGCGCTTTTTGAAAAATCTTGTAGGATTCTTAGGGAATTAGAGCTTTAACATTTTGTATTAACCTCTTTGTTTCCTAAACAAATCTATTTAGTATTACTGAAGACTCAGTACTATTCAGTAATTATTCAATAAATAAAGCTAAATATTAAATACAAAACAGTACTGGATTCTAACTTCTAAATAATACTAAAATGAGTACACTCAATTGTGGTACTCCTATGACATTACTCGACTGTAGTACGAGAATAGTATTACTCTTTGAGCTGCCCTGGGTGGGGATGGTTGTTATGCCAGAGATGCATTTTTACCCATTGAAAAATCATTTCGGAGTCTGATTCAAGTCTGTGGCAACTCCTCAGTCCCACAGATTCTTTTTAAAATAAGGACCAGATCAGAGATGTTCGAAAGTGTAGAGGATAAGAAAGTAGCAAGGTAGACTTTGGGGAATTGATAATTCAAGGAATTTTGGGAGAGTAGCAAATGAGAATAAGATTTTATGTAGCCTGGGGAATAAAAGAATGAGAGAAAAACTAATAAACACTCTTCACAGTCATAGTATTGATAGGTATATTTCATAGATGTTTGGAATTCTACCTTCAAACCCCCTAAATTGTGAGCTCCCTAAAGAGGGGATCATATCTGTTACATCTTCTTTGAAGCCCTTAATTTGATACTCAACCAACAGAGGCTTAATGAATCTTATTGACTGACAATCCTGAGTAAGGGGAGGATTTGTACAGCCTTGAGATAAGAGCTGTAGAAATTGATTTATGTGAGCAGTTCCAGGAAATGTAAACTTTAGGAAAGGTTCCCAGTCTCTGAGTAAGCAAGCCAAGCTAGAGAATAAGCATAAGGCATGGTGGTAGCCCCGATTTTGTGGCATTTGGAATCTCCAATCATCCCTGTCAGTTCACTTTTCATTTCAATTCAACATTTATGTATTGAATATAAGCATGCACTGGTTTTACAAAGATAAAGGTGATATGATCCTTGACCTCAAGGCACTCATGATGGTAGAAGATAGCCAATTAGTATACCACATGCTATATGCTACACAAGCAAAATAGAAAAAAAGAAAAAGACACTGGGGAGCCCTGAATTAGTAGTTGTTAGTTTTGCCTGGGAAGGTCTAGGATTTATGAAGGATATGACCGCTGAGTTAGATTTTACTTATCTTTTATTCCTCCTTTCTGTTATCGCCCATCCATCTCTCTCTCTCTCCTGACCCTCTCTCTAAATTTCAGATAATAATTTTTTACTATGCTCGCCTGAAACTGCTTTTACATCTCACTCTCTTCTTCTGATTAGCAAGATAATAAACTTCCAGTCTGGTTGTCATTGGCATTTTCTGATGTTTGAGTCAAACCAGAGAAAAGAAGAACTGAAGTATGAACAAAAGGTTTTTAGATTTGTAAACATATATTTAACAAAGTTTAAGCACTTATAAATTTGTCAACTAACTGAAATAAAAAAGTTGGGGGGAAAAGTCCATTAGGGATTTGAAAGATATTAATCAGCTGGGGGAAAAAAAAAAGAGGAAGGTAGCTCTAAGGGGCAAACCAGAGGCTCTAACAGGTGGGTACAAGAGGAAACCAGGAGAGAGGGTTTGGGCAGTAAATGGGCTTACCAGGATTTTATTACTCCCCTTGATAGCTCTCTCATGTTCAGTTTGGTGAAATACTATTTGTAGGTGGATAGAGGAAGACAGAAACCAGAGTAGTCTGTGATACTCATTTTCCTTTATAGTTCTTGGCCTGCCTAAAAGCAATTCTAAAGCAATAAGAGAATATAAATGGCCAAGAAAAAAATAAGGTCACTAAAGTGATATTATTCATTTACAGCTTTTCTTAATTTTTCTGCATACCGTAACCACTCAATTATTTGGCATGTATCATTAAATAAGAGATTTTTAGAGATAGGAGTGCCTTTAGAGCTCTTCCATCCCATGTTTCACATTATAAAATGAGGGAAACTGAGTCACAGAAGCATGTCCAGGGTCTTATAGCTATTGAGGGGCTCCTAATCTAGTACTCTTTCTATGCCCAGTATCACATCAGTAATTTTGCTGCATTGATTTCCAACAACATTCTCAGTGATTGTTTCCAGAACATAGACTGACTCCCTTCAATGCCATAGCTATCTCAACGGGGAGAAGGAGTTGAAACATATCCCATTTTCACCTTTCATAAAAGACACACAATTTGCAAATTAGCAAATAGAATGGTAGGTTCAATATTTACTCTTGCCCAAGTTTTTTACTTGGTCCTCTGAACTGTGACCTCATAGAGGTGCCCACCCTGTATTATAAGATGATCTAACTGGACAGCACAGTATTCTATCTATCATGGCATCATGGACGAAATCATTAACTGAATATCCTTGAGATCCCAAAAGACAGAATTCTGCACTTCCGAAGAGCCCAGAGATGCCAGGAGGAAAAGACATGTTTCAGGCCTGAGGCAGAGATAACAAGTGCCTGGACAGTCTAATTAAGCCACGGGTTAGTTTGTTGCATCTAAAAAGGTTAATGGGCCAGCGTAGCTAAGCAATTCCATATAGATATAGGGGAAGAGAAGCAGAAAAAGATTTATAGAACACTGTGAAAGAGATGCAAGCATGACCTCTTGTGGTAGAGGAGTTTATATGATGTGAAGGGTCCGAAAACCTTTGAGGTGGAGGTGGGGAGGTGAGTCTCCTGTTGGAAACTTGGGACTTCTCTCTGGACACCCCTCTCCTGCAAAGTATCTCTCTGGAGTTCAGTGCTCTGCCGTTTGTAAACATGTGTCATAACTTGGGGCGCCTGGGTGGCTCAATCAGTAAAGCGTCTGCCTTTGGCTCAGGTCATGATCCCAGGGTCCTGGGATCGAGCCCCACGTCAGGCTCCCTGCTCAGCGGGTAGTCTGCTTCTCCCTCTGCACCAACTTGTGCTTGCACTCTCTCTCTCAAATAAATAAATAAAATCTTTTAAAAAACCCCACAGGTCATAACTCATCAAAATTCCCTTTAATAACTAGTAGACAAATGCCATTTGATATGTGCCAGGTTGGCCAGTCTTATGGCTTCTCAAAGTCACAGTTTACAAGGCACCATATTTTTGATCCTTTTATTGAGTACCTCCTGGTGGGTCTTACTAATCTGGAGGAAAACATATTTTGTTAAAATAGTAAGAAATAGGGAGATTGTCTAATATTTGTGCTACAAATTGAATTGGCACATATGGTATTGTTTGAAGCAGTAGAATTGGAAGAACAGGTTTAGGTCAGGAAGAAGAGGATGTCTTTGTTGGCAAATACTTGGAGACACAAGAATGACGTACGAATGATAAAGAGAAAAATATTACAGCTTTGATATTCTTGTAAGTGAGCGTGAGGGAGGAGCTGAGGTGGTATTTGGAAGCAGCTTGAGTTGATAGCAGAGGGTGAGATCATTCGGGTAAAGATTTGAGTTGTGAATAAAGGGAAATGCACTCAGTTTTCCAGCCTGTGAACATCTTTTACATTGCGTGCGGTTAAATGGTGAGTGAACTTTGCCTCCCCTTTTCTGACGGTCATCATAGATGTTGGTGGGATGAAGCCCTAGAAGGGACAGAAGAGAAGAGTTAACACCTATCATGTGTTAAGTAGGCACATACATTAAATTTCATCTTCATAACAACCCTTCAGAATGAAGATCAATAATCCTCTTATGGGGCGCCTGGGTGGTTCAGTTGGTTGAGCATTAGACTCTTGATTTCTGCTGAAGTCATGATCTTGGGGTCCCAGGATGGGCCCCTCACTGGGCTCCACACTCAGCACAGAGTCTGCTTGTCCCTCTCCCTGTGCTCCTATTGCACACCACCCCCAGCTCTCTCTCTCACAAATAAATAAATAAAATCTTTAAAAAATAATCTTTTTATTTTTTAAATTATTTTAAAGATTTTATTTATTTTTTTGAAAGCGAGAAAGCATGTGCACAAGCTGGGGGAGGGGTAAAAAGAGAGGCTCCCCGCTGAGCAGGGAGCCCGACACAGGGCTCCATCCCAGGACCCCAGGATCATGACCTGAGCTGAAGGCAGATGCTTAACTAATTGAGCCACCCAGGAGCCCCAATAATCTTTTTATAGTTGAGGGAATTGGGACTCTGAGAGGTGGGTCAGTTTGCCAAACACAGAACAGGTAATTAGAGGAGGTACTGAAATTCAAAGTAAAATGGGGCTGATTTTAATGTCACATTGTTCGTTTACTTCTAACATACCCCAAGCTGATTCCTTCTGCCCTGCCCACATGTGCCATATATCACCCTTGAAGTCTGTCCTCCGAGGAAACTGTTGCAGACACTCTGAATGTTTTCAAACAGCAGTTCCTCTCCTGATTTTATCGGCAGCAACAGTTCTTCTAAATAATAATCTTCCAGAGCGACAGTGTCTCCTCACAGACATATATGTCAGTTCTCTTAAGTTCCTTCATCTCTTATTGTACTGGCCACATTTAGAAGAGATATTTTTGTGATATACATATGGAACAACATTTTTTTTTTAAAGATTTTATTTATTTATTTGAGAGAGAGAGTCAGAGAGAGAGAGAGCACAAGAGGGAGGAGCGGGAGAGGGAGAAGCAGACTCCCTGCTGAGCAGGGAGCCCGATGCGGGACTCGATCC